TGGTCACCAAATGTTTATTTATTTTTGTTAATATAAGTTAATTGATGAAGAAAATCTATTTATGACATTATTTTTGACAGCATCCTCATTCTACAGCATTTTTACACAAGTGCCTAAAGCTTTTAACAGCACTGTAGCTTTGCAGGTAGGTTTCTTGAAGCATCTTGGAGACGTTGCCACAGTTCTTCTGGATTTAGTCTGTCTCAGTTTGTTCTGTTTCTTCATATCATTCGAGACAGACTGATGATGATCAGATCAGATCTCTGTGTGCAGCACTGGCTGTTGTCAGACAAAAATCTCACTGGATTATTAAAATTAATGGCAAAATGAATGTTTGGAAATGTAAACTGATATTTCATACTACTGACACACAGCAAAATATAGAAATAACTGACTTAAAACCATTTTTAGCTGGTAAAAATACTAGTGTTCTAATGATTTTGGCCACCACTGTATACATGGTCCAACTAATAGAAAAATATCAGATGGCTTCGATTTGAAATCTCAGAAATTGGCTCATTCAAGTGGCAAACCACTAAACAGATAAAACATTGTATGAATATTTTAAAATACTGTTTCAGCTAATAAATTACTATGATGTTTTAAAATATAATTGTTTGTGGGTAGAAGTCAAGCAGTTGGAGTAAATAAGCAAAGGACAAATGTTTTGAAAGTCTACATACTGGTCCATGCTGAGATACAGACAGGTTCTGTTGATGTATCTGCTACAACGACTGTGATGCAAAATGTGTAATTGACTCCAGCAATCAGACCAGCAACTGTTACATTTGTGACTGTGACTGTTACATTCCCATATGTTTCATCAGCAGTCCATTGAACTTTGAAGGAAGACCCCATTTCGAGTTGTTTATCCCATTTCAGAAGCACAAATGATGAGGAGATTTCAGTTACTGTGAGATTCTCGATCGCATTTGGTCCTGTTTAAGAACAGAGAAGAAACTGAATAGCTGAAACAGCTGTAGAAATCATACAATTTCATAAAGTTCATATAATGTTTCTAGGTAGTCCAGGGTTCTGGATGCAGCTATGCAGTTTTCTGCTCCATGTAAACCTGAGATGGCATCAAAGCTGAATCCCAATGAAATCAGTACAACATACCATAGATAATAAACTGAATTATCAAATTCCTATTAATGTATTTACACAATTGTTCATGAATAAAAATACTCACTTGGAGTAGCTGATGTTTGAGAGCTTGTAGTTGCAGAGGCTGCAGGAATATTTTGATGTACAAAGAAAAAAGTTTTTTTTCTGTTTTTCTTTTTTTTTTTTTGGGATACAATCAAATTTTATATTGCAAGAATTGTTATTAAAATACATGAAATTGCTGTAAACTGTATGAATACAATTTTGTCTTATTACTATTTCCTATTTCCCAACATTAATTCTAACTGGTAGACACTGAGGTTTGATATTCGGTATTTGAATGAAAAAAGCACAATTATTCTAACAATATACAACATTAACAATAAAAATGACAAATTAACAACTTTACTCAGTTGTCAATGAAAATACTCACTTGAAGGAGTTGATGTTTCAGACTCAGTTGAAGGAGAGCTTGTAGTGGCAGGGGCTGCTGGGATATTTAGATGTACCAAGAAAATAAAGTAGATTTGTTTTTACATACAGTCACATTTTATACTGCGAGAATTGTTGCTACAATACATGAAATTGCTCTATGAATGCAATTTTGTTTTATTACTATTTTCTACTTCCCAACATAAATGGTAGCTGCTGATGTTTAAACATAAAGCATTCAGTCAAGTTTACATTATTTAGTAATCTGATTTCCACTTTAATCAAAAAATATATAACAAACAAGATTTATGTAACCAATTTAAATAAAAAAAGGATGTTTTGTTATAGCTTTTGGAGCATGGGCACCGACATCTTGCAATACCACAGCGTGTGACGTCACAGGATTGTTCGCTCCGTTGGTTAGTGAAGTAATATAAGCATTTCTTTACTTTCTGAACACACAAATGTCTTTGATTTTCACCATAATTGTATGAATACCCAACATCAAACTGTCTAAATCACAAAGTTTTCATTGTGATTATTCTTCCTACGTATCGGGGAGAACACGGATGGCTCAGTAGACATTTTGCTCTAAATTAATGGTTATTGTCATGGTTTAAATAACAGAAACTGCTTTGTTTATAATAGGAATCTTTTCTGGGAATGTCCTAGGCTTTTTCGTGCTGATGGCCTGCACCCCAGCAGAGTCGGAGCGGAACTCCTGTCGGACAACAACTCCAGGACGCTACGCTCCATATGACTAGTAAGCCAATTCTCAAATAACTTTGATGATGGCTTTTCTTCTACCCACTCAAATGATAGAAGTACTTGTGTTGTCCAATCTATAAAGACTGTGTCCCCAAATAATACAATTGATGTGTTAGGACTTGCGTTTACAGACTTAATAAACGTTTTTGGGGTCAAGCAAAACGTCTCCGGGCCCACGCATCGTTTTAATCATACACTAGTGTGACGAGTGGGGCGGGGCCGAGAGCCGTGGGAGCGGAGCGAGGCCGGTGGAGTGAAAGATAATGAGGGACACCTGCGCCACTAACCGGTCTCCAGTCCCACGGAGGAGCTCCGGAAGGATAAAAGGAGGAGTGACAACAGTGAAGGACGAGAGAGGGCCAGGCCTGGATTTTATTTTGTGTTTTGTGTGCAGCAGTCGTCCGTGAGGGACTGCCGCTTTACTTTCATTTTGTGTTTGTTTATTTTATTATTAAAGTCTTAAAAAAAAAAATAAAAAAAAAAAAAACTATTTTTTTCTCCTCCAACTTCAAAATCGTCCTACATCGCTGCAGAAGTACCGACCCAGTGTTTACAAAGTGAATATGCAAAGAAGATCAAACGGTATCAAAAAAAAAGGTAAAACCGCGATGTAGGACGATTTTGAAGTTGGAGGAGGAAATGAGATGGGAGTTTTTCGACATACCCGAACAGTCATGAACCAGAAAAAAAACAGAGTTCACGCAGAGCTAGACAAGACGAGCGTTTGAGGTTAAAAGTATATAAATTGTCTTTTTTTTTTAGAAAATAACAGATTGATTCGCTAAATAAGACCCTTCTTCCACATCTGGGATCATTTAGAGCCCATTGAAGCTGCATTTAAACTGCATTTTGGAAGTTCAAACTCGGGGGCACCATAGAAGTCCATTATATGGAGAGAAATCCTGAAATGTTTTCCTCAAAAAACATGAAGACATGAAGATCTTGCATGACAAGGAGTTGAGTACATTATCTGTACATTTTTGTTCTGGAAGTGAACTACTCCTTTAAAGTATATTTTCCTTCCCCCAATAAATCCTTTCCCACTTTTAACATAAAAACATTAATTATGCATTTGTAACTGCAAGTTACATGCATTCATGTCCTACATTGAACAGTCTGTGTGAATGCATATAAATTATACTTCAGATAGAGCTGCTGTGCCACCTCCCTCAAAAAACATGAAGACATGAAGATCTTGCATGACAAGGAGTTGAGTACATTATCTGTACATTTTTGTTCTGGAAGTGAACTACTCCTTTAAAGTATATTTTCCTTCCCCCAATAAATCCTTTCCCACTTTTAACATAAAAACATTAATTATGCATTTGTAACTGCAAGTTAAATGCATTCATGTCCTACATTGAACAGTCTGTGTGAATGCATATAAATGATACTTCAGATAGAGCTGCTGTGCCACCTCTGCATTGCAAAGGAAACTTTTGTTGATATTGATTTAATTTGATTGGTAAGAGCCCTATAGTGTCTTACTATTTTAATTTGATTAAATTTATGAATTTGACACAAAAGATGATGCATACATTTAATTTGGTTAGAAAAAATAATTGGCCTTATAAAGGTAAAAATGCCCATCAATGTTAAAAATCAATTTAAACTTATTGGAAAAGTTAAGTTCTGTTACTCCTGCAAACGAATTACTACACAGAGTATGAATAATATCAAAAGCTTGGGGAGTCAGCTGTCCACGGTAGGGATGGGCGATACCACTTATTGTTTCCGATACGATACCTATACTTTTAAAGGCCAGTATCGTCGATATCAATACAATACAATTCTTCTAACCTGAACTTTTTAATTATGAAATTGATTAAATTACTAAGAGTAACACTTAACTATATTTGAAACGCATTTTAAAATTCAATATGCCTTAATTGCAACTTATTAGGTAATATTTTTGTTTACACGTGGTTAAAATATATATTTACTGTAGTGGTAACCATGGAATTCTACAAATACTATGGTTGAACTATGGTCACTTTAGTTAAACCGTGGTTCATTTTCATAAGGGACTGCCAGTGACAGGCTGTTGCATGCATAAAATGCAACCTTTTTATTCTGACAGTGTATGATTATATTAACATTACAGAAAAGAACATGATCAATATGAACTTTCAATGTTCAATTTAAATAAATGTAATTGCACAAACTATGTAAGCTACCAATTCAATTTGTTTATTGAGAAATAACTCAAACATATGTTTTTCTGTCCTCTCATAAGCATTGTTTTGGGCTGCCGTTCCCAAAAGATACAAACTCCCTGTTTGAATGCACTGGCAGAAGTGAGTGAACACTCTCCGTGATTGATTGGTTCTGTCTTGCGATATTTGCATGCGTTTAGATGAGCAGGAAAATGGTTCTATCCTACACAATTTAATGCATATTGTGCACAATTTTTTGCTAAGAAAATAAAATCTCTGGTAAATAAAACTCACCTTAGTATCAGTATTTTTTATTTGAGTATTGATGAGTATCAATACTCGCATCAGTATAGATATATCGATACTTCAGGATCAATACGACCATACCTTGTCCACGGCAGTCCTAAACCTGCCAAGGTATCAGCACAATAAAACGCTCAGCAAAATGGACTCTGCACAAGCGTAGCAACGAAATTCCGCTGTTGCCAGAAGTCGGTATATTAGTTTTTGGTTTACTTTCGCATCACCCAAAATGTCAGTATTTACTGGATGTCTCCGAGATCTGGCTAAAGTGGACACACAAGTGGAACATGGGATTCAAACTCTACATATCAAGTTATCTGCACAACTAGTAATCTAATGTGCTGTCCCGGCAGAGAAGCGGCTAAGCTAGTTAGTGACTTGTTCATTTTAGAAGCATGTTTTTCTTAATTTTAAAAGCAGACTGTTTTTTTTTTAGTCCATCATCATCTATTGATAAAATTGACAAAATTACAGAAAATATCTAGATAACAGTTTTGTCATTACCGACAAAGCTTTTTTTTTAAATAAGTTTTTTTAAAGAAGTATTATTTTTCCTATTTTTACCAAAAATAGGATGGACTGGCCATTATGGAGCACTATAAATGCATGCAATGTCTGTTTCATTCACGCTGGAAGCCTTCAAGCAGAAATTCCACTTATGCATCACAGAAGTAAATAGAAGAGTAAATAGAGTAATAGAACTCATGATACTCCAGGAAATCCATAATATGGAAAAAAGGCATCCAACTATCGTTATAACTGAATAAAAAATATAAATGTTTTGAATGATGAAACATGAAAACAATAAACACTTGACTGCGATAATATATACATTATATGTGTTCTTCAAGACATCTTGGGTATTTTCATAATAATATATTTGCAATCCATTGTTAATCAACATAGCCTTCATTACAGTATAGAATATATTTTCTGCCTCATTCTGTGATAAGAAGCCACATGACAAAAGGAAATTATTTCAAACCTTCTACTGATGTCGCAGAGTAAAATCATGTTATAATGTTCTCTTTTGTTGGACAGCAGGCTTAGAAACACTTCTCCTTGCAAGTCATTACAAGGGAAGATATTTGGCGTGTGTTGCTTTTTCAAATGCACGTTTTAAGCGGAGAGGCATCACATAAGCTCACCTCATAGACTCACAGGCGCACAAACAGAGCCAATTTCGAAGAGAGATAAAACCCACAGAAGCTATTTAAATGCAACCGAAAAAAAAAACGTAATTCACAAGCGCATATTGAACCATCATACCGAATGGTTCAATATTTTTTGAGAATTGTGGCTTCCCTACAATATGACATTAAAAATAAAATGAATAAAATACCAATATAATTTTCCTATTAATACATTTACTCAGTTGTCCATGAATAAAAATACTCACTTGTAGGAATTGATGTTTGAGACTCAGTTGAAGAAGAGCTTGTAGTGGCAGGAGCTGCTGGGATATTTCGATATTTAGAAAAAAAAAAGTTGCTTACAGTTAAATTTTATACTGCGAGACTTGTTAAAATACATGAAATTGCTGTATACTGTATGAATTCAATTTTGTCTCATTACGTTCACACAGCAGCAGAATACGGTTGTCAGTCCTGTATTTCAGTCCTTAATAAGGTTACGTTCACACAGAGTACGGTTATTACGGGCATGACAACCGCATTCTGTAAGTGAACTAACACCAGTAAATTTTCAGGACTCACAACTGCAGTCTCAGAAAACATGCTGTGTGAATGGAACAGGACTGGACAACTAGTTATCTGTCACATCATACAGTGCGAGTCGCTCTGCGGCACAAATGCGCGTCGACCATGTGTTGCGTGTTTTCATGTGTGGTTTCAGTAACTTACAGTGACGGAGAAGTGAGCTGTGTGTCACCTGTACAATTTGATCCAGTCAGTTTTTCTCCACTACAGCCACTCCCGTCAGTTTTCTGTTTTGCATGTGACTCAAATGCTCCACTCCCCACCAAAATATTACTGCTGTCGGTTAATGAAGATTAGACAGAACAGGGCTCGACAATAAGGACTGCCCGATGGCCCGGGGCCAGCGTGAAAGACGTTGAGGACAGTAGACAGATTTGTCACTTGCCCGATCAGGCCACTGCAGCCTCGTCATGAAAGTTTATCATTTGCATGTTTTTAAGCCTTGTTAATTAAAAAATTCAAGCAATTTAAAAGCATTCAGGCGCGAAAGAATTACATTCAGTACTCGCGAATTGTTTTTTCATGTAGACAGCATGCACACAGACAGCCCTGAATTGAGTTTCTTTCCACGCCTGAACGGGCAAATACATACAAAAGTATGTCCAAATACCCATCTTGACTAGTAACTTTTTAGCTTTAACAGTGATTAATCTATATTTAATTTATACAGTGGAGTACAGTTGCACCGATCGAAAATTGAAATTTTATTTCAGACTATCTAATGTTCCTTGCTTGCACACAAACTGCACTGTTACGTTTCTTAAAAAAGACGGTTGCTAACAAATTGCTAAATGGGACTACAGGAGCTGTCGGAGACATTAAACGTCATCACGCCGAACAGTTTGTCAATTTACAGTGTTTTCCAATAGTAGTATAATTTATAGTACAATTAATTGTAGAATAAGCAATTAATAGTTTCCCACACTTTATATTGTTGTTCGACAATGTTTTTTTGCTTTGCCCCGAAATGCAACAAGTCTTCGGATGGAAGATGCTCATTTTATTGCTTTCCTACTGATACAGAGACTTTGGGTTCGTACCATAAGGTAAACTCATGTGATTATTCCATCTAAACACCACATTTACCGGCTTAGTCACGGTCAAAGTGAAACTTTGATGCATAGTGCTTAAAGCCACATTAAAATTAAACGTTTACGGCCACAAGCAGCTGCTAGAAAACATGTAGATTGAGGATTTTCTAGAAGCAAGTATAAAATAACATTTTGTGTACCCACCCTAACAAAACGATAGCTGAAATGTAGTACTTTATTCGCAAAAATAAGTTTAATTTTACCATATCCAAAAACTCGCTCACTCTGCTGTTATTTAATAGATTAAATGCACTAGAATTTTATTGAATGTATGTGGAGCCATGTTTTTAATTAAAATATTCATATTAATCAAGGATTAAAAGGGGCCCTATCATACACCCGGTGCAATGCGGCGCAATGCGGCGCAAGTGTTTTTGCTAGTTTCAGCCTGACGCAGTTCTCATTTTCCCATCCTGCACCGCGTTGTTTAAATAGCAAATGCATTTGTGCCCATTTGTGTGCCCATGGGCGTGCTGGTCTACAAAAAGAGGTGTGCTGAGGCGCATTGTTGGCGCGTTGCTATTTTGAGGAACTGAAAATAGACTGCGCCACAGACCAACTCAAACCTGGTCTAAAGTCTGGCGCAATATTTTTTCTTTGTTATTTAAAGAACGCGTTAGTAATATGCGCCTATAGGCGGGTGCACAATACGCGTACACTTTGCTTATAAAACAGATAAAACATATGCGCAGCAGTACACAAACATTTTTAAAAATGATTAAATTACAATTTAAATTACATTCCGCCATGTAAATAGCGAACCCACAATGGCCCGAGCGCAACTGGCTTTTAAAGGGGATGGGAGATGAGACTCTGATTGGTTTATTGCACGTTACACCCAAAAAAACACCCATTACTCATTAAGAGAATAGGGACAACCCATTTAGACCATGCGCCCGGGTGCGTCGACCGTTTTCCCGTCGTTAAACTAGCAAAAGTGGATTCAGACACGCCCTGAGTGCACCTGCGCCGTGCGCTTTAGACCATGCGCTTAGATCGTTAAAATAGGGCCCATTGACTTTTAATGCACCTTATTTCGAAATGTACAGAAATATGTGCTTTCATATGTCCTTTAGTTATGATTATTTCATTTATTCACTATACTATTTATTACTAATGTCTCAATTCAGTTTTAGTTTGGCTCTAGTTTTGTATTTATTCCAGTTTATATGAAAAGTTTAGCTTTTAAGTTCTGGTGCTTTTATGTAGGCTTCAAAATTCATAAAAGTTATATTATTTTGTGAAGATTATCTTGATGGACAAAACGTGTAAGTTTCATGAACTATGCTTGAACACAGAGCTTATATTTTTGCAATAATCCAAAAGGAAAAATTGAAAAATCCTATTGGATTTTTTGCCAAAAATCTAATTTTATACTGCAAGAATTGTTGTTAAAATACATGAAATTGCTGTAAACTGTATGAATACAATTTTGTCTTATTACTATTTCCTATTTCCCAATGTAAATTTTAACAGGTAGATCCTGATGTTTGATACTTGGGATTTGACATGAAATAGGCATAGTTCCCTTTCAGTCATTCACTTCAACATTGTGTCGAATGTACGACATTAGGGGTCACTCTTGGGAGCCAAAACACCTCTGATATCTTTGAGAAAAGGCCAATGAAATTGGGTGTGCAGAATTTGTATAGCTGGCCATGCCCTGGACATCCGGGTATAAATAAGCCAGCGTAGCATCTGCTCACTCGTTCTGTTTTTTGGAGCCAAATGCAGCGTCTCTCAGTGAGATGCAGCATTCACCTCTCGATTCTCTTGTTGTTGGATCTACAACACGGGCAGCGGTCTCTCCTTTCTCATACACAGATAAGTGTTGTGAGAGTATCCCTGGGTGCTTCAATGGCAATCTTTAAGAGCAAATTTCCTCCTGCAAGAGCAAATTCTCTCAAAGAGCTTCATGGGTGGAATTGTGTGTATTTACATCATTCCTTTCTGCCCGGGACCTTCTGGTTGCGGTTTCCATATCTCTCGCTTCGATTGCCACAAGCTCTGCGTTCAGTGTTTGGCCGTGCACATGCTTGTCGATGACTCATGCCCCTCTTGCGAGGCACTTTCCTTCAGCATGTTGCACTCGCGACTCGGGTTCTTCGGGCTTGAACCAGCATCTACGGTCGCTGAGCTTCAGTCCGAGGCGGACGCTGAGATGGCGACTGTGCTTACCCAGGCAGCCAAAAGCATCGGGCTCGAGTGGACTCCATCCTGTCCTGAGTGCTCGTGGCTGGATGATTGGTTTCTGGGTGTAGAGCGCGACTCTAAGCCACGCCCCACCCCAGAACCTTTCTTCCCGAAAGTGCATGAAGAGCTGACAAAATTGTGGAGGGCCCCTTCTCGGCCAGGACACGGTACACCAGCTCTTCTGTCCTCACCACCCTTGATGGGGGTCCAGCGAGGGGGTACACGGAGGTCCCCCAGGTGGAAAGGGCGATTGCGGTGCATCTTTGACCACAAAACGCCGCCACCTGGCGGGGCCATCCAAGACTCCCCTCCAGGGCATGTAAGTTCTCTTCGTCCCTCGTGGCAACGTATTACACGGCTTCTGGACAAGCTGCGTCCGCCCTGCACGCCATGGCCATCCTGCAGGTCTACCAGGCCAAGGCATTGAAAGATCTGCACGAGGGTGGCCCCAACCAAGAGGTGCTGCAGGAACTGCATTCGGCGACTGACTATGCCCTCCGGGCTACAAAAGTCACGGTGCAGGCTCTGGGTAGGGCGATGTCCACACTAGTGGTCCAGGAGTGCCAACTGGCTCAACCTGCCTGAGATGCTGGATGCCGAGAAAGTTCTCTTTCTTGACACCACCATTTCACAGGTTGGTCTCTTTGGTGACACCGCAGAAGAATTTGCACAGCTGTTCTCTACGGTCAAGAAGCAGACGGAGACCATCAAACACATCCTGCCTTGACGTGGGTTAGGCCCTGGTCCTGCACCTCCATGACAGTGGCCCCCATCTGCTCGTCGCTGGGGACGGCCCCCTGCGAGGTCTGCTGAGGTCCTGCAACAGCCTGGACCTGCAGTCAAGCCCAACCAATGGCCCACCACTCGCAGGAAGGTGGCACGGCCAGCTCATCAGCAGGGCACCAACAACCCTCGGAAGGCTTCAAAGCGTCCCTGAGATGGGCGACCCAGGGAGTAGGGACCAGTTGACCAGTTCAGATCCACTTCCGACGTTGGGTGGGTGGTGAATACGGCTTCACACTGGCTGTCTGCTGCCTGAAGGACACGTACTTTCATGTCTCGATCCTTCCAAGACACAAACCGTTTCTTCAGTTTGCCTTGGAAAATCCATGGAATCCATGGAAAAAAGCAGCAGACACTGGAATTGTCAGGTATACAGTAGATTACTTGTTTCAACATTTGAATAGGATCTGTTGTCAGCAATGGCACAAAGGTGTGTTACTCTTCAAGTCTCTATTTTTAGATCAATGTGCTCAATAATGTATCTTTGGCCTTCATTATGTAGATTTTGATTATGCTGTGTTGTACATAAAATACAAATTATCAAAACCCCCATTATTTTACTCTCCTCATATTCTTTGTTACCTGCTTCACAGACACATTACTGACTGATGGCTCATTATGGGAGACCCTTTGTCTCTCAGGTGTGAATCTCTGAATATTCCTGGCCATTGTCACTCCCTCGCATATGGCCTTTCTAACACAAATAATGTCTGACAAAAGTTAAATCAATATTTTTTTTTGTGAATGAGTGAGCAGGATGATTTTCACATAATTTTCACATGATTTAACCCTCAGACCCCAGAGGGTTAAATCCCCTGAGATCACGCCTCATTCCCTCTTGAAATCTTTCAGTGGTCCTTTGGGCCTTACAGAGAGATCTATTTGAGCCCCTTCAGTCAGTTGATCTTAGTGCCCTCTCTATGAAGACGGCCTTCCTGACTGCGCTCACTTCTATCAAGAGGGTGGGGGATCTGCAAGCCCTCTCTGTTAGCGAATCTTGTCTAGAATTCGGTCCAGCAGACTCTCACGTTTTCCCGAGATCCCGGCCTGGATATGTGCCCAAGGTTCCCACCACTCCCTGTTGTGCCCAGTGCGAGCCCTGCTCATTTATTTGGAATGCACACATAGCTTCAGGCTTTCTGAACAGCTCTTTGTCTGCTTTGGAGGAGAGCAGAAGGGGAATACTGTTTCCAAACAGAGGATCTGGATTGTGGATGCGATCCTCATGGCTTATCAGGCTGGAGGCATACCATACCTGCTGGGAGTGAGGGCTCACTCGACAAGGGGCATTGCTGCTTCATCAGGTTTAGTGAACGGTGCCTCTCTAGCAGACATTTATAGAGCTGCAGGTTGGGCTACACCCAATACATTTTCCAGATTTTACAATCTGTGGATGGAACCAGTTTCATTCAGAGTTCTGAAAGTTAATTCTTTAATTCAGATTACTGGTTGGATATAGAGCTTGCACACAGCGTTTCCCCGTCTCAGATGGCATTGCTCTTATTCAGTGCAGTTCAGTTCCTTTTCATGAACCCTGGACAACCTTTCCATCACTTGGGCACTTTGCGTAGCTGAGTTTGGCGGAGGAACTCATTGTAGAACTCATTACGAGTAGAGTTTCTCCTAAAAACCTGTAATGAGTTAGTGCTCCTTATGTTGTGGCCCCATTTGTGGATTGTCCCACGGTTTTGCCCTTCAGGGTTCAGTGTTTCCCCTACACAGATGCTTGGTCTGTCATGAGGTTCTGTAACTGTTAGTTCTCCCCTTAAGCGGAGCCCGCTATGTGGTACTTCCTTTGTAAGTCCATAGGTCATTTTCACATGCTACCTCCCTTCAGGTAGGATGTGATCTCTGTAGTGCCTTTCCCCCTATGGGGGAATAGCCACTGTCCTGACGTTTTTTTACCAAGACTTTTCAGACAATCTTTTAATGGTAAATACTAACTATGGGGAAAAAGGCTCCGGCTGAAGGGACCTCTACCTTTATGGTGTCTCCCCCAGATCTTGGAGAGCAAGGTCTTAAGTCTTGGGAGTTGGAAGGTTACGAGGAGGTGAGGTGCATTTGGTTGTGACACCTGAGCCTGTCAACATCTGTGCCCCCGTGGACTCAGTTCGGCAGTTGTGGCGTTTAGTATAGGGACCCCTAGTGTCGTACATTCGACACAACGTCGAAGTGAACAACTGAAAGGGAATGTCTCGGTTACGTATGGTAACCCTTGTTCCCTGATGGAGGGAACAGCGACATTGTTTCCCTTATGCCACAAATTCGAACTGCTTCTGAGTGGGTTGAGACTCCTCTTGCTTCTTGACTCCTCAGAACAGAACGAGAGAGCAGATGCTACGCTGGCTTATTTATACCCAGATGTCCGGGGCATTGCCATCTATGCAAATTATGCACACCCAATTTCACTGGCCTTTTCTCAAAGATATCAGAGGTGTTTGGGCTCCGAAGAGTGACCCCTAGTGTCGTACATTCAAACAACAACATCTTCCCTCCATCAGGGAACGAGGGTTACCATACCTAACCGAGACATTATTATTACAATATGCCACATTAACAATCAAAATTTATAAAATACAGATATGATTTTTCTATTAACACATTTACTTAGTTGTCCATGAATAAAAATACTCACTTGAAGGAGCTGATGTTTGAGACTCAGTTGAAGGGGAGCTTATAGTTGCAGGAGCTGCTGGGATATTTTGAAAAAAAGAATATTATATATATATATATATATATATATATGGGTCAAAGACATTAAGATGTCCACATCAAAAGAAATTTACAAAAGTGTTTTTATGTCCATAGAAAGCGCATTAAATGTAAGTAAAGTGTAAAGTGTCTACTTTTAAGCTTTCAAATAAGTCAAAATTTGGTTGAAATAATGTTCTATTGTCATTCAGTGTAACACAATATTTATGTAAAAATTCAAACAACATGCTTATTCTGACGTGTACATATTAAAATATATAAAAGAATAAGGGAGCATATTAAATTTGATTGTGTTTTAAATGAGTAAAAAATTCTTACTGACAAATGGGCAAAACCTAGGATATTGGCAAATTTTAAAAATGTAAAATTACAACTAATTAGTATTTGGGATATTCTTTTAATATGTCATAAATTGATTTTTGTTGTAAATATTCCTGACAAGATTGTTACACTGAATGACATTTTAGTGGGTCTCTTCTGTAAATCAGTACCAATCAATATAATTTTTTTTTTTTTTTTTTTTTTTTTGCATACAGTCAAATTTTAGGAAGCATTATTAAAATACATGAAATTGCAATATGAATACAATTAATACAATACAATAAAAAAAATACAATAAAGTCTTATTACTATTTTCTGTTTCCCAACATAAATTTAACAGGTAGTTGCTGATGTTTAATGCCTGGGATTTGATGTGAAATATGCACAGTTACTATTACAATATACCACATTAACAATAAAATTAATAAAATGACACCTGGGTCATTCCGTGCCAACTCAACCAGAGGTCCCCGGCTCAAATTTTTGAATTACTAATATTTTTTCTAAAGAAATTTATTAATATTTACATTAAATATTTATATTTAATGTATTAATCAATTTTTTTTTTTTTTTTATGTTGACTTATAGATTGTTATAGATTCTGTTTTTTATTTGAGCTTCCTGATCTGTACAGCACTTTGGTCAACCTTCAGTTGTTTTTAAATGTGCTTTATAAATAAATAATGAAATGAATGATGAATGAATAAAGAAAGATAAACATGTTTAGGGATGAAAGCCAAAATATTAAATGTGTGGATGAATATTAACTGAGTAATCCACTATGTTATAGAGGGCGGTCAAAATGGCAATTTTAACCCGATATTCAGATCCAAATTACAGGGGGGGTAAAAATTACTTTCGAAAGATACCAGCATCATTATATTATTTTTACACAGAGATTGGTAGGTCTATTAGTAAAATCTGTTGACTTTAGCAATCTTTGTTCCATTATGTGCCAATGGTGTATTCTAAAATGGGGAAACAGCACTTTTTATTTTTTTCTCAAAAGTTTGCAGGCCTGTAACTCAAAAAGTATTAAAGATAACTTAACGTCCTTTTAGTTATTGGGTCTTAACAAACTTTCCTTTTGGCATTTTCATTTTAAGGCCGGATATTGTACAGTTCCAGAGATATTAGAATTTCAATATGGCTCCAGGAGTAACTCATTAAATTGTACACATTTTCAGTGGTCAAAAACCAAATGTGGGTCACTTTGCAAAAATATGATTTTCTTCTTTTCTATTAAAGAGGAATGTCTGAAGAACAAATAATGTTGAAAATAAAGATGTATCTTGTTTCCATCTGTCAAAACAACTGCATTGAACATACCTGTCTGAGTGCCATAAATATTCTATTTCCAAAGTTTGCATGCCTATAACTCAAGAAGTATTAAAGATATCACAATATGATTTTAGATACTAGTTCTTAATAAACATTTCTTTTGGAATCTTCATTTTCAAGGCCCTACATCATTCATTCCCAGACATATGGAGACCTCAATGAGGATCCATGTCCAGATTGTTGAATATTACCTATTTTCAGTGGTCAAAAAACAAATGTTGGTCACTTTGTATACAGCCGATACTTATTTTATTTAGAGAACAATGTCTGAAAAATAAATAATGTTGAAATTAGAATTGTATCTTCTTTCCCTCTATCAAATCAAAATTGTCAGAGTGCTAGAAATGCACTGAAATGGTTGAGCCACATTATATTTTTGAATCAGTTTTAGAAATATTTGGGAAAAAAGGATTTTGTTCATTTGAACAGCTTCTGAAGCTACCAAGAGTTCACATATGCAGTATCGTAACATGTTTGAAACAAATCCCATGCCTCATATGGAAGTGTGGTTGCTTTCGCCACATATTGCATTCACATCAATAAACCAACATTTTCCTCACCTGGATTAATTATTAGAATTTCTTTTTATTTTTATTGTTATAAAATGTGATGCATAGTCATAGATCAAGTGTTATCTACTGCTAAAGGGCATAGCCTACTTGACAGAATCACTGATAGTACCTTAAACATTTAAGGTCACTCACTCTTGAAATAATTAACAATGGGTAATTCCAAACCCCAGGTAAATGGGATCCTGGGTAATCTAATTTTACTTTATGTTTCACACTGTTCATACGTTACATAGAGTTAACAAATAATGCTGATCATTCATAATCTGATGTGTCACACTGTACATTCATCAACCCAGGGTTACTGTTATTATTTGCATATTTGACAGTGACAACAGTGATGACTAGATGAACACAAAACCACATTTGGTTTTTGACCATTAAAATTGGTAGGATACAAAAATTTGGACATGGAGCTGCACCAAGATCTAGGTATCTCTAGAATTAAACCACACAGGGCTTTAAAAATAAAGATTCCGAAAGAAAAGTTTCGTAGGAACCAGAATCTAAAATCATGTTAAGATAACTTTAATATTTCTTGAGTTACAGGCACACAAATTTTGGAAAAATAATATTTATGACACTCAAACAGCTGTCCTATACAATTGTTTTGATAGAGGGAAACAAGATGGATTTCTACTTTCAAAATTATTTATTCTTCAGACATTCTGCTTTAAATACAATAAGTATCAGCTGTATACAAAGTGACTAACATTTGGTTTTCAACCAGTGAAAATGGGTAATATTCAATAATCTGAATATGGAGCCTAAATTAGATCCCCATATCTTTGGGACTGAACGATGTAGGGCATTGAAATGGAAGATTCCAAAAGAAAAGTTTATTAAGAACTACAATCTAAAATCACATGCCAATATCTTTAATAAAGAAAGTATATTTTTTTGCATACAATCAAATTTTACACGGCGAGAATTATTAAAATACATTAAATTGCTGTAATCTGTATGAATGCAATATTGTATTGTTACTATTTCCAATCTCCCAATGTAAATTTAACACGTAGATGCTGATGTTTGATACTTAGGATTTGACATGAAATAAGCACAGTTATTACAATATACCACATTAACAATAAAAACGAATAAAATACAGATATCATTTCTCTATTAACACATTTACTCAGCTGTCCATGAATAAAAATACTCACTTGAAGGAGCTGTTGTTTGAGACTCAGTTGAAGGAGAGCTTGTAGTTGCAGGAGCTGCTGGGATATTTAGATGAACGAAGAAAAAAAAAATTTTTTTTTTTTTTTGCAGTCAAATTTTTGCACTGCGAGAATGATTAAAATACATTAAATTGGTGTAATCTGTATGAATACAATATTGTTACTATTTCCTATCCGCCAATGTAAATTTAACACGTAGATGCTGATGTTTGATACTTGGAATTTGACATGAAATAAGCACAGTTATTATTACAATATACTACATTATCAGTAAAATGAATAAAATACAGATATAATTTTCCTATTACCATATTTACTCAGTTGTCCATAAATAAAACAGTGTTTCCCATACATTGATTTATTTGTAGTGGGCAATTACAATATCAAAACTGACCTCCACAAATAGATTTTTCAAAAGGCTTTGACTTTGTTGAATAAACATGAGCACTGCACGTTTCAAAATCAAAAAGCGACACTAGTGTTTTTATATTAGTCTATATCTGAAGGAAACCGACTATCTTCAGGAAATTTTCTATTTCATTTCCATTTCATCATGCCTGTCATGCCTGATAAAGCAGCGTTTGTGAGCACAGTGCTGCTTTGTGTACAGCCGTTACTGGGGAAACAGCTATTTTTACGCTCCAAAAGCAGCACCTAGTGGCAAACAATGAATTTGCATTTTCAGTCAGACCAACGGAGAAGGGTATAACTGCAGCCTGGAGATCTCCAAATGGGGGTGGGAACTCCAAAACGGGGTGGGAGCTCCAAAATAAGGCGTGGCTTCCCCCCATTGACAGACAGGCACATGACACGCATGCGCAATTTCCCCCCAATCCACTTCAGTGCAAACTCCGCCCCACAGCTGATA